GAAACAAGAGAGAGAAAAGAGCAAGAATATATATAGCAGAAAACAAGAATTTAGAGAAGAATGCTTTGAAGAAACTATAAGAGAAAAAATTCAAGAACAACAAAACCAGATCACAGCAAAGAAAAGAAGCTATAAGAAAAGAAAAATAAAGAAGAAGCAAAACTGCAAAGCATAAAAGCAATACTAATAGAAATTCTAAGAAGGCTAGAAAACTTGAGGCGAAACCCAAAAAGTAGAAGAGGAGTCACAAGATGATCCTAAGAAGGTGATAAAGTTGAAATCAAAAAAGGGCTGAAAGGGCAAAAAATACAGTCCAGAAAACTGAAAGAAGACAAGAAGTAAAGAAGACACAGATATTACATGAAGTATTAGAAAACTACAATCTATTGACAATAGGGTTTTACAACAATAATGGTTTGAAGACCAACAAGAGAAAAGCAAAAAATATATATATATTTTTTTTTGGTATTCAGGTAGGATCTTGCCCATGACTTTATTTATGATTAATACTTTCATTACATGTATTACTACATTTCATATTATATCTATCAAGTACACCAAGCTCAGACCCAGATCCTATTGATAACGTATGCTCTGGCTGAAACCATCACTTGTGTTCTCTCTCCATTATTTAGCTACCGATCCTATTATCTGCGATCCAAACCTACCAGAGTGGTACGTCATAGATAGCACTCACCCAAAATTTTTCTACCCTTTACAAGTTCTACTTCAGTATATTCTATGACTATATTCCCTGCATCACTCATACCCCTTCTATCTAAGCTTCCAAATTTGGTAATCCTCTTTATAGAAAGGCCTTGTAGCTTTATTAGACTACTTCTAATCTTGGTTAATATTGGCTAGTCTGTTTAGTTGAGTCCTACTAGTAGGCTCCATACTGCTCAGCTTAAGCCCCCATTATTAACACCTAGTTTAGTTAGTATGCTTGCTGATCCCATTACCACATTGGGTAGGTACTCCTATGTGTTGGTACGAGCTTGCTATATTGCGTTACAAGTTACCTCATAACTTCCAGATAGCAGATTTTCATATTACTCCTCTTCTATACATTGCCGGATTGGGTACCTGTCTAGTGTATAGTATTCCATGCCCTGATATTTTTAGGTTACAAGGCGCTAGGGGTATAGACCTAGTTTTGGCTTGCGGTCTATAATGCTCCCAATTTCAGTATTTGGTATTCCTTTTATACTTTTATCTATTTCTGGTATACAAGCTCTATTCGTACTATTGTATTACCAGCCCGGTGAATCTAGCTATTTTGAGTTATTACTACGTACCCGAGTTTCAGCCCACTTTTTTCTGTTATCATAGTATTTCTCTAATAGGGAAAGTGGTTTGGGGCCAGAGGTGCTTCCAATTTCAGTTGGGCCAATCCTTTTCCACAAATCGTCCTTGTGTTCTCTACATTTCCTACTACTCCAGTTATATTGCCGTCATATCACTCTTCCAAGCAAGTATCCCACAAGTTAGATGCAAGGATGTTGGTGCTGCCCCGGTCACCCTATCGAGGACTTATATGCGTACCTTCATGTAACAGAACCTTCTATGACTTGGTATCATATGTAGTACCACCGCTTCACAATTAGAACTCTTTCCAGAAATTCTCTTTTCTGGTTTCGTACTTGCAATGGACTTAACCACAGGGTTCCGCATTTGATTTGGCCCTCTTCTGGGTTACAGAAGCAAAAAATCCTAAGATTTTGCCTCCAGTCCGATTTGAACCATTGATCTAGTCTGTGGGGTTTGGCAGCTTAACTGCTAAGCTATAGGGCCCAAACCCGAAAAGCAAAAATATTATAGATTATATAGAAGAAAAAGCATTGATATTCTGGGTTTAGCAAAGACAAACATATTAGAAGAGAAAGAAAGATATATTACTAAAGAAAATAATAATCATAGCAGCTATTGGAAATTAGCAGATGAAAACAAAAAAAAGGCTCAGGAGTCAATATAATCATAAAATAAACTTGGAAAAAACATATAGCATGAGTTATCAAACACAACCTATACCTCCTAGAGCTAAATCTAAAATTCAAAAAGCTATTTATAATGATAATAATAGTATATGTAGCACTAAAAAATCTAAAGATACAGGAAAGCATTAAGAAATACATCAAAAAAAATTGCAAAAAAAGAAAGAAAAATATCACCACTATATTATTATGGGAGACTTTAATATAGATCTTAACAAGATAGCAATAAAAAACTCAAGAGGAATAAGTGACAAAAAAATTCAAATCACTAATATACTAACAGGAGAAAATTTCTCACACTTTCCAGAAAGTGAACACAATAGATACCAAACATATGTGAAAAGATAGAAGATAAAATCTAGAATAGACACAATATGGACAGACAAAGAATGGAAAAAAGACACAATAAAGAAAGAAACAGAAAGTATGAACTTCTTAACAACAAGCACCACTGTATTAACTGGTGCAGAATAATTACAGATCTTAATATTCAGAAAAGAAGTATAGCAAGAACAAGAAGAATAGACAAAATAAGAGTTAATATAGATTTTGGAAAAATAAGCAAAGAAGACTAGAAAGAATATAAAATGAAACTAGATAAAGAAGTTAGCAAGAAATTAGAAGAAAAAGAAAAAGAGAAAAGAGAAAAACAAGAAAGACAAAGTTCCAAAAAAGCAAATCAGCAAGAAGCAAAAAAGATAAAAAAAGAACAAATAGACGACTTATAGGATATTATAGAATTAAGCATCAGAAAGACAGCAAGCTCAATACTCCCAAAGAAGGTAAGAACACTAGAAATTAAGAGCAAAGATACATTATTAGAAGATCTAGCTAAACAAAAAAATAACATATAGAAGCTCAAGAACAGGTGTAGTAGAATCAAGAAAAACAGAAGACAAAAAGACTATAGAAGAAGTGTAAAGCTTAATAGACAGAATACAAATAAGGTAGAAGATAGAAAAGGTCAGAGGTGAAGAACAATCATTAGCCTTTTGGAAGAAAAAAACAAGATGAAATTATATGAAGAGGCAGAAATTCAGTAGAAGAC